GGATACAGGAAAGTATTATTTAGTTGTCAGTTTTTAAATTTAAGATAATGACCTACTTGAATATGCAAATTTACAATTCAAATATGGAATTAAAATTTTCATATTTTTACCTCATGACCGATGCACATCTTTAAAGCATTGAAGAATTAGGCCTAAGCCTTTTTAATAATCCTCATAATATTTTCATCAAATAATTCAGTCATAATGCTAATACTATTGTACTGATATTAATTTACACTTTACAAGATTTATTGTTTCAAATTATGTTATTTTTGGGAAATGGCTTTAAAAAAAGTGTATCTTACTTTGGATGGATAAATTGAAATTTGAAAATGAAACGCAATAAACTTTTTTTTTTGCCTGAAGATGATGTTTTGATAGGACTTACCAAAACTCTCTCCAAATGTATACGTTTAGGAATCGAGTTTATATATAATAATAATAATAGATAGATTTATATAGCGAAAATAAACGAGAAAATAAATAAATTATAAATTATCCATGAGTTATTTTTAAATCTATAGTCTTTATTACTGTGTATCGGTTTTGAAACTTATTGGCAGTGAAACCGCAGAGGGGAGTTCAAAGTTCAAAGTAATTTTATTGTCAATAGTACAAGTAAAATTGAAATTTGGTTTCAACAGTTAACAGTTAGATTCTATTCTAAATAACAAAATTCCACAGACACCTAAAAAAAATTATCATTATATCAATTTTCTTAACTAGAACAAAATATATACAGAATATTCCAAAGAAGTTTTAAAAAAGCTGAGAATGTTGCAAGTTTATACATTATTCTGTAAGTTAATATTTGTATTAATATTTTAAAGGTCAAATAGGCCTATAACATTCCGTACGATTATAATACACATAGGCCTACTTGTTTTATTTTGCTGACTGTCTTACTGATTTTCTGCCTTTTACGAATAGTAAGTAGGCCTAGGTGCATCGTATATCGTCGTCTTACTTAAGTTAAATTTAAAATGTGCGGTAACACGTATAGAAAAACTGATGTGTTGTGAGTATCAGGACGGTTCGAAAAGATTGCTCTATTCGTCCTTAGGGTAAATTGTGTTTACAGTGTATTCCAGAATAGAAATTGAATGCTAATAATTACTATCGACGCTATATGTGTCTCAAAACCCTCACCCTTAACAAATTGAATCGTTCATATAAGAATCGAACTTGTAGTGAAGATGTGGCTTGGTGATCAAAATAATTACTTTTCAAATCCATGATTCTGGGTTCAAATCCCAGAATCATGGATTTTCTCTCACGACTAAAAAACATTTTCACACTCCCTAAGTCGTAATGAGTCTAATTCATAAAATATCGTATATTGTTTTCATTCATTTAAGGAAAGCCCCGAATATTATCAGTATATTAACCTTATGATATAAAGCTGGAATGGTCACCCTCTCTAAATATGATATTAAAGCATCATTCAAATGAGACACAATGAATTGAAGCAAAGTATATATTTCCTACCGACATTTTACTACAAGTACGTTTTAAGTTGCCTCTAAGTCAATTTAAAGGTCCATGAAAAGACGAAACGGTATTAATATTCGGCCTTCTGCTTCAGGAATGTGCTGTGCGTTAAACGGTATTAATATTCGGCCTTTTGCGTCAGGAATGTATTGTGCGTTAAATTACGAGGAAAATGTTTTCAACTGAAAACTAATAATCTACATACTAAAATGTAAGCAATTAAAAAAAATTATTCCTTTATTATTATTTGTATTCTTAAACCTGAAACAATAAATGCTGATCTTTAGGTATTGTTGCCATGACTGTGTCCACCAGCAAAGCTAGGTGCACTGACGACTTTACAGAGACGCTATACGTCGAAAACGGTGGTAACACGTCCGTCTCCTTCTACATGGATCGCTTTGTTGTGGTGCTTTGCTATAAAAATAATGATGAAATTTACGACAGTGATGAACCCACACGCTATCCAAAGTATCAGTACGAAAAGCAGACGGGCAACTATCATAGATTGCATTTCTTTAAAGTTGATGACGATGATGTGATCGACAGATGTACTGTTCTGGGTCAAAGATGTCA